AAACAGACAGTTTAGAAATAGTCTCCGCGCATCCCTTTTTTTGTACAAGAATTATGAATAAAAATTCTGTATATTTTAATATGATTGATTTTGTTTTATTTCGAAAAACATTGAGACCTATACACGATTCTTCCTGTACTTAAAATTATTAGAAAACAAATACAAAAATAATATGAAACGAAAAAATGATGGAAACATGGAGCTTGACGGGATAGAGTGATAGAATGAAAATGGAAATAACTAAAAATATTTTTTATTTACATTAAATTTTTTATTTAGAATGAGAACAAATATTCTTTTATTTATCCTCTTTTATTTTTATTAGACATTACAAAAAAATTAATCCTCAATTAATTACTTATCATAATTAATTACTTACATCACATTATATAAGTTCAGATATATAGTAAAAATAATGCAGTTTGGAACACGGGCAAATACACAATAGTTTTCCGACGGTTGGGAATCCACGTCGCGAACATCGAAAAAACATCGCGAAAAATCAACTTTTGCACTCCTATGTAAAAATAGCTATAAAATTCAAAATACTTGGAATTTCTTCATAAAAATTGAGCTACGTTTTTTTTTGAGATAATGTATTTTCAGAAAATGCAATAAAAAAAATTTGATTTTTGAACCAGAATGGCCCCTTAATGACTCCGAGCGCGAATATTTTTTTTCACCTGACTTTTCTCATAAAATTTGCGTTAATTGCGATTAGAAATGATTCTTCGTTGAGTTAAAAACTGTAAATCATAGAATTAATGAAAAAATATATATCTCGATATTATGTTTAGAATGTTTTAGAATGTTTTAGAATAATTCTATTCTCGTTTAGAAAAATCCTGTCTTACTTTGTCGCATTTCTTATTTATATGAGTTCTGTGAATTTTTTGGGTAGTGTCAAATTGAAAATCTTTTTGATTCATAATGTCGCAAATGTATGAAAATCATCAATGAAAATTTCGGAAAAGATGATAATATCCTTGATAAATGATTCGAGTTCGTAAGATGTCGATGGTTGGATTGACCTCCTATTAATACCTGCGGTGCGCACGCTGATTGTTTACAGGTATACAAGAAGGAACACGCACGTTTCCAACGCCGGCTTGATTGAAAAAGGTGAGTTTTTTTCGTGGCAAGGATATTCTTTCGGCAGTTTGCTAGATCGCCGAATATGATACACAAGCGTATCAAAACATTCTTGGTTCTGTCGGGACGCAAACCTGGATCTTTCGTATAGTAAACTAATGCGCTGTCTGCTACACCACGCTTGTACTCGGTTAAATTATTGGAAATTATAATTTTTGTACAAAAAGATATAGCGAAAAAAATTGTCTTGTTTCATACATCACTACATCGAATCGATATCACTTGCAAAGCAAAGTGTATTTTGAAAAATTTTCAGATTATAATTAAATTGAAGTCTTCGTTTGTTATTGAAAAACGATCTTCGTATAAGATGAAGAAACATAGATAGGTAAAGCATATTTATAGTTTTGACTTTCAATATAAAATGAACGTAAAATGACAAATGCTAAAATGCAACGACTTGTTATTCGGTCTGCATCAGCCTCCTCGTCGTGCCGCGTTACATTGTGTTACATTCGCGCTGCACCCACTATACTCGCCCTGTGAATTTGCATGGCGTTCGCGTCGACACTCGCGCTTACGCGTTGGTGCATTACGTTAAATAGAAAAATCAAACTGCCAACGCTTCACCTCGCCTCACTCGCCTTCGCATCCGCGTTGCGTTGCATTACGCGCGCATCATGTTTTTCGTTACGTCGGCATTACGTCGACATTCCGTTTCGCATTAAGCTTGTGCTGCGCGTTGGATTACGTCGGCGTTGCATTACACACCGGCGGTCGTATTCACGTTATACTGACGTTGATTCGCGTTCTTATCAATTGCCAATTTAACGTGAGCGCGGGGTTGCGTCGAGCGTAAACTTCTTGCGTGGGCACTTGCGCAATACCGCAGAAAATCATTAATCTTTCTGCTCGCCAGTTTTTTACTTTTAAAGCCAACTTTTTTCTTCAAATTAATTTACGCTGTGTAATTATATATAATATTACATGTAAATTACGCGTCACATAAATTATGCGATAATCATCATGACGATTTTAATTGCAGAGAGAACGATATCGCAATGCAGAAAAAGTTTATTTTATTGAGATATTTAATTTTCGTCGATTATAAATATTTTCGCTTAAATATTTTGTTAGTTATTACGGAGCATTGCTTTGAATGCTTTACTGATGTTAAATAGAAACGCGATTTCGTAAAATCTAAACTTTATACGGAACTTTTGGCCTTATGCCAAGAAATATCGTATGAGCCATTAGAAGAATTAAATACTGGCGAAGATTTAATGTTTATTTTTATTAAAAGCAATTATTTCATTTAGCAAATGCAAACGGGAAAATATGGATTTACATAAATGTATATTGTGTAGCTTTTAATACTTTCATAATTAGAGACAATTTTATAAATACATAAATAAAATTTTTAGGAAAAATTTTGGCAAAAATTATTTATCTGATAAAATATTGATAAATCTTATTTAATGTAGTTTCTTAAATTGATTTTATTTATTATTATTATTTGCAAATTAGTGTCAAGAGTGAATGGAGACTTTAATACGTATTCTTTATCGGCAGGTTTTATGTGTGTCTCGACAATGATTTATCAATATTTAATTAATAATGTAGTAATGTTTAAAGGATTGAAAACAGTTGTCTCATACAGAACAACTATTGTTCTGCATTTGAATATCTTGTTTTTCGCACAATGGTAAATATTCATTATATAATCGATATATCGAATTTTACATTATGATATAATCTTGTTTATATCAAATTTAATAAAGCGACTAAAATTTTTATTATTGCTTGATGCGTAAAATAATCACTTGTCACATAACAAAGAATAAATTAAAAGTTAGAAAATTAAATGGAAAGAATTTTGTTTAAAAATTGTAATTTTCACTAAGGAAATTTGAGAGAATTAATTATCCGCTGAAAATATTTTTTCACTGTTAATAATTTCCTAGTCGTTATTTCAAACACTGTCGTACTAATGATTATTTACGGACAATATTATTAACGTGAAAAATTCATATCGATAACACAGTGACATTATTTATGCTGAGACCTTATTACACACTTGCGCTATTCATCAGCTAATGGAAATGAATATCATTGGCGTCGTTGCTATTTCCGCGAGCCTAGAAATGTAGGCTTCGAATGGTGCAATCATTTAACTCGAGAATGACGTTCATTGCATTCGACACACGTGTCGAAGCATACACACACACACACACACACACACATACACACACACACACACACACACACACACACACGTATG